GATATATTTGAAGTTAATGTGCAAGCCATGGACGTTAGCCTAAAGAAGTGATGAAAAGTCTACTACTTCACGAAAACAGCGCCAAAAAGCATTGGCTGTGTAAACGGTCAATTTTTCAAGCGTTTACCTGATCATTTGAGAAGATTTTTGCACAGAGATGTAGCCCACGATGTTTACTGTCCTTATGGCGACTACGAAGCCATAAAAATTCCAAAAACCTATTAAATTTGCTCTATTCTTCTGGAACAGGTTTCATCTACGCGAAAATACCGATCTCACACGAAAAACCTCTAAGAATGAGTAGTTGTTTACGAATCATTCGTAATAGCCTACACAGCGCAGTGAGTTTCAATGCAATTATTATGCGGGAATGAGTAAGGCATAGATAAAGTAGGGCCAGTGCGAGCCTCTGCGAAGCAGAGGTGACGCACTTGTAGTATATGTTCGACAAACCAGCCGGAGGTGGCACTGCTGCCAGCCAGTGCGGATGTCTGACTGGTTGACGTCGGCACCGGCTCGGCAAATGACGAAGTTGCTCTAGACGGTCGTCGCGCGGTCGTCGGCCGGTAAATGTGTTTGAGTGTCCATGAGCGAGATTGTCTGCAGAGAAACATCTATTTCATTGTTGGATCTCTTGTTGGCAGGTGTCTTGGGCAGGCATCAGGATAAGTATGAAGAACTCATACTGATAGCAACTGAGCAATGTAAAACAAAAGTATTGATTTCGACTGTACTGTACTTTCGACTGTTCGCAATATATAAACTTATAGATTTTCGAAGGGAGAGCGGTGGCGTGCGCATAATGAGCAATCAGTGTATTGTTAACAAGGATGTGCAGTCAAACCAAAGTAGCCTGCAGCTCACTTTTCTTGAGGGATAGAGCAATCGCACAGCGTTTCCTACGGCAATTTTCTTAACATATACCAAAATGATCAAAGTTGATATCATAAGTGATATATGATAAAATGATACTATTATTGACTAGTTGGCTTTCCCGGTCCAGACCGGGCCATTGTTCTCTTGCACTGCGAGCCCACCCCTCCCCCTTTTATATGTTATGGATAACTTACTCTGGAACATCCGCTTCGAAACCGCATCCCGTGATCCTGAGGCGAAAATGAGCTTCGTCGCCTTCGTTTACATGACTATGGCAAAATGCTTGATTAGACATGATAACCCCTCAACTCCTTAGAAAAACGTAAACAAATCAGTAAATCGTTAGAAGGACCCAGTGAATCGCCGCAAAAAGTAGCCTAAAACCGTCTCCGGGGTCGGAAACATCTGTATGCAAACTTTCAGCCCAATCGGTTGAGCGGCGCGCGTTTCTATAACTCACATACCCTCCAAACAGACAATTTTTGAGTTTTATATTTATAGAGATATAGGTGGATAAAACGGTTTGATGTTTTGCGAAAATTTTCGATAATTGAATTTTCATACCAAATCTATTAATCGCACGCTGAGATACATCTTCATAGCAGCGTCATCATAAAAAATAACAAAGTATTATCATAAGTCTACCTTAACACCATGGATCACGGAATATTAACATATACCAAAAGATTCTCTCATCAAGCTGAAGCCAAATCTTCTTGCAAATTTTTAATAGCTTTGTTTTGGAGAAATTATTGCTAAATCTCGCAAATCCCGGCAATCCACGAATCCTGCAAATCACTCATTTACACATTCCATTGTTACAGCTGTACCGGAGCAAAGAATTCAAGATGCAATCTGAAACAATCAAAATGGCTTGATTTTCATATGCACAGTTGTTTTCGAGACCTATCTCGTACAGCGACTGCAAATGAATTTTTAGAGCTGATTGACCACATCCGATAATCACACTGACGTTTGATGTACTCTCTCATATCTTTAAGACAGTTTAAAAACTCGGTGTGCCACTGCTTCAAGAGCATCTCCTTGGTGCGATTTCGCAATAAGCTGTGAGGAATTTTAGACCCTTCACACGCTGGCATCTTCGGAATAGCTGGACACAGAGAGTCAGTGGTAAGGTGCAATATCATCACTGTGGGTGAGCATCTACGTAACACCCAACATCTCTTGTGGATGTGGGTGGCTCCCGGGTTCGTGTGTGGGTGGGGGGACGGGCACCTCGCTTGGGCACCGCCTCCGCGGACTGATGGTCCTAGCACGATGCACAGCAGTAGGACGAAAGGACCAGCGGGCCGCGGAGGCGGTGTCTAATTGAGGTGTTCGTTCCTTTTTTCTTCGTATATGAGCCAGTCGCGACTTTTTTGATGACGTATAATCAGGGTCGAACAAGAGGTGTGGCACACAACCGCCGGATACGACCCCCCCCCCCCACCCTTAGTCCTCCCTCGATATCCTCCCCCCCCCCCACCCACCCCATTTTCAGTGTATTCCTGCCACAGGCATGACATAAAGGCTTTACTGAGCACAGTTAGTAACACATTTGTATATCATATCAGAGAATCCCTGTGAGCCAAGTTTTAGCAGAGTCTGCGGTTTCCCATAACTGGGCCACTAAAGTGAAGTGGCAATTTTCGAACATGATTAACTATAATTTATTTCAAAAGCGAACTAGCTACCTCTTTTTTTGTATTCAAAACGAAGCACTAATTCCTATTCGCCTATAACATGAATCCTGCTTCCAATAACCACAAAGTATGGAATTATGAGCCAGCCAAAATTTCGTCTGTACAATCGCTTGCAGTGGTTGTGTTTTCAGCAACTATTACTCAAACGAAAGAAAATGAATTCAGCTCTCATCACTTCTACAAAACCATGAGATTTTTGCTATCGAAATGTACCTGATCTGTTTCCTAAATTTCTCTTTTGAGGTAAATTAATGAGGTGTGGCGGCCACAGCTTTTTAGGGATTATGCCACACCCCATTGACTTACCTTCAAACTAATCAAATATTTGCGTTTTTATGTTTGCTCAACCTTCTTCTTCAAACAGTATAAAAATCGTTTGAAATCGTTTGTTCTAGGGAAAGATATAGATGTTTTCCCTTATATATACAAATGGAAAATGCTGCGAAAATATTGGGTTACGTAAAATGCCTAGTCTGCGTTACTGTGTAAATCGCGAAAGAAGGCGACAAGGACAAATTTTGATAGACTAAGCCTCAAATTGAATGTGATTTGAGCAGGACTGGTCCTCTCTAATCTGAGTATCGAAAGCGGAAAATGAAACAAATGAGATTTTGGCTTGTTCGTAGTTCATAGTCTGGATGTTATTCGGAGTGAAATTCCTAATGTGGGCAAAGAAGTAATAGTTCTCTATACTAAGTGCAGAAAGAAGTAGTTAACTCATCACTGAAATGACGGTAACATGTTTGAAAATGACTATATTACTTGGATCTCTCAAGATTTGGAAACCTCAGAATTCGCTGAAACTTGGCTCACAGAGGTTATTTGGCATTATGGTTACGAAAATGACGCTCTTATTTTTGTGGTGCTCTTTTGTTATGCTTACTGTACGTATACGATAGTAGGCCAAAACATCAATGTGCTAGTGCTTTACACAGTGCCTATTTGACATTGTTAGCGAATATCATGTTATCCCTGACATCAGCTCAGCTCGATAACGAAACCCCCCCCCTCCCTCCCTGACCCCTCAATACGACCCTCCAGATGTGGCATGCCACATCCCACGCTCGACTCTGCGTAATCTCGGCAATCCTCCAGTTATCATCTATATATATGTAAAACTCAAAAATTGTCAGTTTGGAGGGTATGTGCGTTATAGAAACGAGCGGAATTCAACCAATTGAGCTGAAACTTTGCACACACACATGTATTCGATCCCTGCGCAGTTTATAGGCTACTTTTTGTGGCAAATCGTCGGGTCCCTCCATTGATTTATTGAATTGTTTACGTTTTCTAAGGAATTGAAGGCTTATCATGTTTAACTAAGCATTTTCTCATAATCATGTGAAGGAGGGCGGTGAAGTTCATTTTCACTCAGATTCACGAGGATGCGGTGAATTGAAGCGGATCGCAAGGTAAGTCATCCATAACATGGAAAAGGGGGAAAGGGTTGCGCAGTGCAGTAATTTTGCTGGAAGCGGTAGCATCTTTGCGCAGTGCAGTAATTTTGCTAAAAGCGGTAGCATCTATCTCCTCCCCTATGAACAATAGCCCGGGCTGGACCGGGGAAGCCAACTAGTAACTTATAATAACGGGCTAAGGATGTTTACGTGACTTGTGTGTGTGCGTCTGTTACGAAATTCGTGGAGCGTGGTCCAGCCAGCGTTCTAAGCCCAAATTTTGTATAGCGCATGCTACCTTCATGGAAGTCCAACATGCAAAAGCACGAGTAGATTCGTTGAGTGGATCCCTCAGAAATTGCGCGTCAAAAGGATCCACCTGGCATCTGTACCGCAAAATTCGGTCCGTATCACCACTTTTTGCAAATTCGTGGATGAGTTCGGTAAGCAAATGTGCAAGCGATGGAGTTTAGCCAGAAAAGTGGTCGAAAGCTTACTACATAACGAAAACGGCGCCAAAACGAATTGGTTGTGTAAATGGTCAATTTGCCAAGGTTCTAGCTAAGCGTTTGAGAAGATTTTCGCACAGAGATGTGCCTCACGGTTACTATTACCTTTCTGGCGACTACCAAGCCATGACATATCCAAAAACCTATTCAAATTTGCGTTTTCTTCCTGCGAAAAGTTTCATCCATGCGAAATCACCGATCTCATGAAAAGACTTTCTAAATGAGTGGTTGTTTACATTTTATTCGTGGTAGTCGGCTTAGCGCGGTGAGTTCTAGTGCCACGATTTTACGAGGATGAGTAAGGCACATAGATAGTATAGCCACTGCGAACCTCTGCGAAGCAGACGTGACGCACTGGAAGCATTGGTTTTCGTACTCTCTCGCTATGAAAAACAGCATGATTTGAAAAAGATTTTATTGCTCTGGTACGATTCAATGTTACTCCATTTCTTCCATGTAATGATTACCTTCACTTTCAAACGTAAACGAGAGAATCACTTTTTATTCCGCTGGCTATGAATACGGTCGGTTCATTTGAGCTCACATGAAAAACCACTCAAACCACCATGCATGAATTTAGATCAGTCTCCCATATAACTCAAATGATGCTCACATTTGGACAAATATCGATCCAGACCTTGAATTGATCGAACCAAGAATACTCGTCTCCATCAATCGGAATTATCTTGTCTATGGCAGAAAGGTTGAAAAAAGGAAAAGGTTTTCCATAGTATTGCTGCTCTTGATTTAGCTTGGTCGGCCTCCACTAAATCACCAACTGACTATAGTCAACCATGGAGAGCATCCGGTAGCATTCAAAGTAATGACCACGGATAATTATGCGTATTTTGTGAATCAGGTGTGTATAGTTCTTACAGCATGGCTCACTTTTTGCAAACTAAACAGAAGTTTTGCAAAACTGTTTGTGCCTTTAAAGGCAGTAGCGCGGGAAAATTGCGACTGCGAGCTTCCCACACCTACATGGCCTTCCGGATGCGCTGAGTCTAGTGATGTGCTTAAGAAGTCAAAAAAATGTTTTTATGGCGTTTGGGTGTATGCCCTTCTAAACTCCTTCGTCCTAGCGCTAATTACGCCCGGGCGGCGCTGATTACTCCGCCTTTCATATAATCTATCAGAGTTTTCAAATATTTCTGAGCATCTCAAAGCAAGCGAGGCACACGATTAATGATAGTGACGATGCTTAAATTACGGAGACAAAAAATCAGAAAAGTTGCATGTTTTTTACTGGCCTTTCGTGATTCTTCGCCCTATACACTTCTCAAAACATCATGAAGTCTGCACGCGTAAGCTGAAGAATTTACCTAAGCCACCCACGTATAACATTTTTGAGTTTCATGGGAAACTCCTCTTGTTTAATTCTTTTTATCATGAAAATGCCTTTGCAGTCCAGTTCAGACGTGTCTAACGGCAGCATAGCTCTCGTCCGCCCAAGCGCCGCATCAGCGCCGACCAATCAGAGGCGCGCAGTAATCAGGCTGCTAATGCTAACGGTTCAGAAGGGCCGTCTCCCATGGCGTTTTCCTACTGTGGAAATAGCTGGAGGGGATGGGCGAGGGATTTCCACTATAATCAGCGACTGGCTGCAGGAGACTGTAACTCCATCCATTTTGGGGATAATTGGCTGATCGTTTTAGGCAGCCAGTTGCGATGTTGGCGGGAATCCCTCGCCCATCCCCTCCAGCTATCTCCAGGGTAAAAAAGCCACAAGAAGCACTTTTCTGACAATTTTACGCACACACTGGACTCAACGTATTCAAAAGGCCATGTAGGTGTGGAAAGCCCGCAGTCACAACTTTTCCGAGCCACTATCTCTAAATCTTCTTTCAAATCTTCAAGTGCTCTTTAATGATTCAATGAGTGGATTCTTGCACGAGGATGTCGATAGTAGGAAAAATGTTTGCACTCGAAAAAATCTGTCATTTCAAATTGCCCGTGCCGGTGCTGTTGCCAGTGCCACCCTAAGGTTATTTCAGCGCAAAGTTGAAATTTACGTGGGCGCGCCTCGTCTTCGTCGACCGCGGTTCCGACGCAATGCTGGAGCGGTGCCAGAACGGCCCTTGCGCGAATCGGGATGAAGTCAAAGCATAACAACTTAGAAACGCTATCATTCATTAGTAATGCCACATGGAAATCAAACGCTTACTCTTTTCAATCTGATTCGAGAATTAAAAGGTTTAGATTATAAAGTTCAAATCTTGGACCCTGATATCATCGAGCCGATGATGATGCTCCGCCGCGACCTTAGGTCACGCCGAGATAGGCGTGGCCGAACTTACTCCCCTCTCTTCACTTGCATAATTACCGTGGAACAGAAAGGTATTGTTCTCCTGCTCGCATACTCGCTGCACTCTTGTTAACTCTCGTTAATAAATCCTGAACCACCGTCTTTTGTACTTGTATTCTCGTTACGGGCAAAACCGCCCAAGAGTCTCTAGTACCCGCAATAGCTTGGTGCATCGGCCAAAGTTGCCACTTACTCCCGCATCTCAGAGTGACATCTGTGATAGCCAGGAGTCGAGACTAGCTGCTAAGCAACCACTCGGCATAATAAAAGCCGTAAATCTTCATCCCGAAAAGAAACAAAAAAGGGAAGAAGTCACCCACATAACAAATCGGGTGTTGTCAGCAAAATAAATCTGACAGACCGCTGCAATTCAGTTGAACGCGGACAACTCGAACATAAATCGCTAGTTTAGATCAAAATGGCGCTTCACTTCCACAAAACGCCGATCATTCTTAGCGCAAACACCTTGAAAACACTAGTGTCAAGGTACAGCGAGTACAGCAAAGCAGTAAATTATCCTACGGTAGACGAAGAAAACTACCAGAAATGCAGGTCGACGATTGCGCTCTTGCAGAGTAGCATCAAACAGCTGAAGGAAGCGAGAGAGAGCCTTCAGACGCTTTACAACGAAATTCGCGAAGAATACAAGAATTGTAAAAGCAAAACAGATAGAAAAGAGATAATGATAGAGATTGAGCAGATAGAAGAAGAATCTCAGCTGCAAGGTGCTATCGCTGAAGCTAACGACTTGGTCTATGTAATTACAGCACGACTAGACGAGTCCAAAAGCATTAGAGAAAATATGGAGATAAAATTGGGATACTCTGCCATCAGAGTGCAGAGAGATGAAGGCCTAGACAGCGGAGAACACAGTGCTGAAGGCGTACACCATGAAGATCCAGAACAAAATGGTATTCAGGACGAAACAAATCCAGTCTCATCCCAGCCTAGTCTCCAAAATGAGGCGAATCCAAGCTCATCACAACCCTCAGTAACAGACCCAAATCTCGAGTTTCCAGTTAGGAGGACAAACAAACTAATAAAACCTCCACAAATTTCGTTACCAAAGTTTTACGGTGACCCAGAAGGTTTTTCAGAATTCTGGTCCGTATTCGAAACTCTAGTTCACAATAACCAAGAAATCGATGTAATGGAGAAAATCCTCCATTTGATGGAATGCTTAAAGGGTAAAGCACACACAGCCATCAAAGGAATCAAACTCGTTCCAGAAAACTATGAGTGGCTCATAAAAACCCTCAAGGAAACTTTTTGCAATCATCCTACGAACAGATCGCAAATTGTACAAAAACTCGTCAATATGAGAGCGGCAGGAAATACACCAGAATCCTGCATCCACACTTTCGCTCAAATCCGAATGTTAACCAATCAGATGATTTCCGCAGGCTACAACGTGAGTAGCACTTGCGATCCCATGTGGGGAGAAACAATTCTGTCTAAATTCCCCCAAGACATTGTCCGATCAGTCTTGATAGCCAGTCGGTCACATGAAAAGCAAACAATAGATGACCTCATGGGCATACTCAAAACAGAAGTAGACGCCAAAGCATACGTGGAAAACAGATTAGGTCACCAGACCACCAATAAGGTCACTCAATCAAAAACAAGACCTATCAATCCACGACCCAATCAAGACGGAGGGTGTGTATTCTGCCAGAAGGGCAATCACCCATCCCTTTACTGTCGGACAGTCACTGAGCAGAGTACTCGTCGAAAAATTTTGAGAGAGCAAAATCGTTGCTGGAAATGTTGCTCTCCCATCCATACTAGTTTCGATTGCCAAAACACAGACTGTGGCCTATGCGGCCAAAAACACCACGTTAGTTTATGCTATAAGAAAGATGAGCCTCGCATCAACCCTACGTACGATAGCAGGCCCAAAAATGCGAATCAAAATCAAAACAACCATAGAAACGATAGAAATCGGCACTCAGACCAAAGAAGCAACTACAAACGTTTCGAAAAACAGAAAGTGAACCAACCAAACACACAAATGTTCGCAGAAACGCAAAATAACAGCAAAGATATCGTCGATAACAGCGCTGCGAATAAACAACTGATATTGATGACAGCTGAAGGTAACATATGGAATGCCGATAAACAAATTTATGAAAAGGTTCTCTTCTTCTTCGACTCTGGAGCGCAAAAAACCGTCATCCAGGAAGGCCTCGCCGATCGTCTTGGTCTTAAAAAACAAACCACTGAGCTCTGCACTATGTCCGGCATTGGCGGTCATATAGAATGTTTCCAAAGCCACACAGTTCCAATAAAACTGGGGACAGCATACGGAGAAGAAGTGAATATGACAGTTCAAACAAAACCTGTAATCACAAACGGCTTTCCTTCGGTCAAACTCGATCCTAGCGATGTGGAATTCCTGAAATCAAATAGCATTTGCTTGGCGAACTCAAAAATTCGAGGCGAGCTCCAAACTCCGCATGTACTTGTGGGTCTTGACTACTACCACGAACTAGTAACTGACCCTGCACATGGCATAAAAACTCCTAGCGGATTTCACATTGCGAAAACCATTTTTGGGCCGACAATTTATGGTCGCGGCATTACTAAACAAGGCAACTCTGAATCAGTGTCTCACAGTCTTACTGCAATACACACGCACAAGGAAGAGGAAATTTTGCAAAAAATGTTTGAGCTCGACGGCCTTGGCATTGCACCAGAAGACTGCCAAACAGACGAAAAAGTGCAGAAATACTTCGAAAACTATGCAAAAAGTATTTCTTTTGAAAATAGTGTCATAACCGCTCCATTTCCATTGAAGGAAAGCGTTACAACTCTTGACAACAACTACACGGTAGCAATAAAACGATTGCAGTCAACTCAAAGACTACTACAAAGTAATCCAAACCAAAAACAGTGGTACTGCGAGATCATACAGAGATACTTAGCAGATGGAATAATAGAAGAATTCCGCATGCCCGAACCGAATGCCGCAGGAATTTACTATATGCCGCATTCTGGAGTGTGGAAACCTCACAAAAATGTTCCACTGAGAATCGTATTTGATGCATCATCTAGTAAAAAGGGACAACTCTCTCTCAATGATGTCATTCATAAAGGAGAATCATTTGTCAAGAAAATCCATGACATTCTCGTGTCTACACGGTTCAAAAATATCATTCTACTGTGTGATATTGAAGCCGCGTTTACGCAGATCCGCCTAGTCGACGCGCACAAGGATCTCTGCCGATTTTTGTGGCTTAAAAACACTAATCATCCACCTACCAAAGACAACATCGTGGAATTTCGATTTAAAAGATTGCCATTCGGCATTACAGCGTCACCTAGCATTCTAAACATGGCTATAACCGCCTACTTATCGCAGCAAGATACGGATTTAGCGAGAGAAATCTCCAATAACCTATACGTGGATAACATTTTACTGCAAGCAGAAACAGTGGAACAAGCTTACAACAAGTACACAGCGTCGAAATCCTTATTTAACAAAGTCGGCATGAATTTACGCGAGTATATCTCCAATTCTCATGAAGTGAATGAGAAGATCCCAGCTCGCGACA